AGTGCTGCAAAGTCTGGGCAGGTCCAATCACACTTCTGGTGAGAGTGGCCTACGCTAGTCGTATCTCAGAAGTCCCACATTTAAAATGAGTCTAAAAATGGACTCGTGGAGGTGTAGGCAGGTACTTTCGTGTGGCCCTGGCTTTCAGCTATGCCAGCTCATCAGTCTTTGCAAAAATTGGATCTTTCTTGGGCAAAACTAGTTTTATAGCTGCTGCTTTGCAAAACAGAGGTCCTTCCATTAACCTAAAATGTCAACGAGAGCCATTAGGCGAGTCCTCTAAATGCAGTTTTTTAAATGCAATCAACAGCAGGTTGTTAATTTTTTTGTGTCCTTAAGCAGCAGGGAATTTCTTTCTCATCTCTCCAGGAAGATACAAGGACAGGCAGATATTACAGTCGAATCTCTGCATCATTTTAATTACATCAGTTCATTAATATTCCTTCAGCACTTTACAAGTGCTGAGTGGTAGTAAATTAGGTGCCTCCCTGGTGCCTGCCGCGCTGCAGCGGGGCAGTTTGGAGCAGTGTGGAGCCGAGGCAGCCTCCCGCGCGCTCCTCCTTGCTTTAATTCTGGGTTTGTGATCGAACGACCCTGCCAAACTTCTCCCTTTTTCCAGGCAAAGCAGAGCTGTGTGTGTCAATCCATCCTGCTCTGTGCGGAGCGGGAGTGGGGCAGATGGAGAAAAGAGAAATAAGGGCAATAGCTCAAGTTTTGCCTGGCCAAACTTCTCCCTTTTTCCAGGCAAAGCAGAGCTGTGTGTGTCAATCCATCCTGCTCTGTGTGAGCGGGGAGTGGGGCAGATGGAGAAAAAGAAATAAGGGCAATAGCTCAAATTTTGCCTGCTTGAGCCAGTGGTAAACAGGTGCTGAGGAAATTGGTTCGTGTCTCCGGTGAGTTGACTCTCAGCATCTGCTAGAACCAGCCTTCCGTGGCATCTGCCGGGCATCCTTCTCCCACGTTTATCGCTGTGGGTCAGACCCGGGTGCCCCCGTCACCCTTTGCGGGGCTGTTCCTGTCCTGTCCGCTGCTGCACGGGGCTGGGGCTGCTGTTCTTCTCTATCCTGTGGTCCCATCCACATATTTATGAAGTCTGTTCCATTTGACACGTGGGATTATGTTTTTATACGGCCTGAGAGAGGAAGCAGCTTCGCCTGGAGCCGTGGGCCGCGCTCGGCTGCGGAGGCGGAACCGCAGAGCTGTTGGGAAGGCAGCACATGGGCTGGGGGGCACATTGGAGAACGGAGTCCTCTTGGAGCCGGCAGGCGGCTGCGGTGCTCAGCGCCACGGACACGTCCCCGTGTCCTTCCCCTGGTGCACGGCGCGGACAGCACGAACGCGCACAGCTCCGCAAGGAGCCGCCGAGAGCCGCGGGCTCCATCCCGCGCCGCTGCCCACGCACCAGGCTCGGAAAGCTCTCGCACCTATTCCCGCTGCCAGCGCCGCTGCTTTACTATGGAAACCAGCTAGTGGGCTCCGTGCCGGCTTCCCAAGATAGGTTTGGGCTTTTTCTGCAGCTTCAGGAGAGAAGCCAGGGAGCAGCTCTGACGTTTTGTCAATCTCCCTCTGCATCCCTGCGAGAACTTGCTGCTGGAGACGCCGGGTGATCCCGCTGCCCTCCGTCCTCCCCAGTTACTTCCCAGGAGAGTAAACAGCTTCCTAGTCCCGTTCTCCTTTCAAAAGATCCCTGTTTCCCGACTGGGCTAGAGCACCATATTACAGCCCTAACCACTCAGAATTATGAATTCTTGGGGAAAAAAAAAAGTAATTTTCATCCAGGAAAATCAGAGGAGACATTAATGCAACAGTTAACAGCAACTAAGTGCTGGGGGGAGATGTCAGCTTGCTTGTTCTGTTTATGGCCTTTATGCAATTCCATCAATATTGATGTGTGATGCCTTTGATTTTGACACTAATCATTGCTATGAATTAAATTTGCAGCCATATAATTAGGACTGCTATTAATAGGGCCTCAAGCTAAGTACTGCTGTGCTAGTTGTCTTCTTCCTGATGGAAAACGGCATCCGCAGAACCTGGCTGATGCGGTTTGCCTGGTAGGTGCTGGGGCTGCTGTGGAAACTGCCCTCCCTGCGTTCAGAGGGGTCTTCCGAAAGGCCGGGGCTGGCCCGGGGGATTCCCGGGCGGACCCTGGTGTCGCCCCTGAACTTCGCAGGAATTTGCTGCTTCTCTTTAGGCCGTATAGATTTGGCATGAGAGAAGGAAAGCAGGAAGAAAAGAGGAAGCCCCAGTTCTCGGGTCTGAAGGGAGGCCTTTGCGAGTCGTATTTCCATTTTAGCTGCCCTTTCTCATGCAAATCTTTCCATATATATCTGTGCCCTCTGCAATTTCAGCGCTTTCTCTCCCTGTTTGCATTCCCAGTTTTGTCTCCGCAGGCGGAGCGCGCTGGCTGGGAGAGCAGTGTGGCTCAGCACTAGAAATCAATCTTGTATTTCATCTCAAGAGGTGTGTATCTTATTAGATCTAATAAATCAGTGAAGTGCCCTTCATTCAGCTTGTCAATGGAGGACATTGTTTGTGATCAGGAGTAAGTAAATGTCTCTCCTGTGTGTGGTGGTGCACGGGCTGGGTGTTATTTCACCATCAGGCTGTTTATGCCTCCTCTAAGAGCAGTGAAGTCGGCAGCAGCGTGTGTGGCCGCGTCCCGCGCGCGGGAGCTCCGGTGCTGCGCGGAGGGCGTCCCCAAGGGACGAGCAAGGGCAGTGACTTTGGGGCTGGTGGTTTTGACTTGGCACTGAGTTATTTCAGCAATGGCTGGAAGGGACACGGAGAGTTGGGGTGTCTTTCTCAGTGCTGGTCGCGTTAGAGCCACCCAGGGTCTGCCTGAAAGCTGCTCCGGCGCTTCCAGATCTGTCCACAAGAAGCTGAAGGGGCCCTTGCCCGTCCTTGGGGCCCTTGTCCCTCCTCGGTGCCCACGCTGGTGCCGCAGGCAGGAATTCAGGGCTGGAGCTCGTGGTTATTTCTGCCATTGGAGCTGCAGGGTGATGTTTACCTCTGATTCATCCCATTCCTCGTGGATAAAGGAGCGTCATCCCTTGTTCTAAGGCAGGTAATGCGCTGTCCCAGTTGCAGCTGCGTTTGTGCACGGCTGCAATCAATTCTGGCGTGCAAGGTGACCCGTGAAGAGCTGTTTGGGATGTCTCTGGGGGAAGACTGCTACAGGAGGGGAAAAAAGGAGCCTTGCTGTAAGCAGAGTCTGCATGATCACAAATGTGCCCTTCTTTACCTGTTGAATGGCTGCGTGCTCAGGGCATGGTGCTGGCTGCCCGTGCTTCCAAAGGGAGCCAACGCTCCGCTCCGGCAAGGGGCAGCGATAACTGATCGGATTACTCAGCCAGGGCAAAGCAAACTTTAAATGTGTTGTTACTTCGTGGTATGTGATAGTTTTATTCAGCTTGGCTGATTTAACTTGTTCCATTAGTAGGAATAAAATAGGTCTTCACAATGAAATATACATCAGGAGCTGTCCTTATCTGCCTCCGCGCGGTGGATGGTTATCTCATCCTTTTAATTCCCCCGTAATTATCACCCAGGCTGGTCTGCAGCACCAGGGAAGAAGTCAGTTGCATCAGCGTGTGGAGGAGCCGAGAGGACATCAGACAGTTATTGAACAGATGAAAATCATTTGCTTGCAGAGCCCTTCCAAAGGACTTTCCAAGTTTGGAAAATAGGTTGTAGCATTGGATGCGATGCTGACTCGGCCCTTCCTGGTCAATCCATCGCCCTCGGGAAAGGAGACCATGTCCCAGCAGAGCTGTCGGGCTGCTCGATTGAGGCAGCTGTTGCCTTGAAAGCCCTGAGAAACAGGACTCTGTTCTTGCCCCAAGATGGGAAATAAAAGGGAATTTATATGGTGTGATAATGTTCATGATTCCCTCTGCTGTGATAAGGAAGCTGGAATTTTTCCAGCCTCATAAGGTAGTTCCTCCTTTGCTTCCATGGTGTAAAATGGAGGCTCCCAAATCGTGACCCTGGCAAAAGAGGCCCCTGAACAGGCCCCCAGACTCCCTGCTCATCCCTTACGGTGCTGAATGGTAATAGGTGGAGCGGGAGCAGCGCTTTTCAGCTGGAATGTGTGCAGGGAATCAGGAAAGGGCTCCAGGCCGAGGGAGAAAGACCCGTTCCTGGGGAAGTCATAGCTGGCTGGTCAGTGTTTAAGAGAAGCTAATTTCGCCCATCAATACTGATGCAGATGAAATGGGAGCGAGGATGACAGAGGAAATGGAGTGCTTTCAGGAGCAGAAACATTATTAATTTTCCCCTCCTTCAGCTCCTTGGAGACACATCTGCTTAAATGGCCTGATGAGCATCTCAAGTAGTCATTGGGAAGCAGGGGAAGGCGAGGGGAGCGCGGGGCCTGGCGGGAGGCCGGGGCTGGAGCCCGGCTGCTCTTTGCCGTTGGCCGGGGCAGCGGCGCTGGTGGCTGGGCTGGAAATACCACGCGTTGGAGAGGGCAGGTTCCTCGCTCCGGTGTGTCCACGGCGCTCCGGGACACTGGGAACGGGGGAGCCCGGCGCGGGGCGGGAAGCTCCCGGCCGCGGGGCGCAACGCGGCTGCGAAGGGGGACGCGGGGACGGGGTCACAGGAGCCAGCGGAGCGGGGAGCTGAGCAGAGGCAGAACGTGGAGGAGGAGGGCACGCAACGCCCTGGCGAACGCGGCTGCCGTGGCCGGGGCAGCTCCTGGCTCCCCTCCCGCTGCCCCGGCAGCTCCGCGCTTCCTCGCGCGGCCGAGGGCTCGTCTATTCTCTCCAGGTGTTTGTGATGTTCCTTTTATCCATCTTAATCCCCTGGCTCTGGGGCACGGTGTGACAGCTCCCCACTCATTAGGTGTCTCTAGGAAGTCGCAGCTGATGCTAATCAGCCAGGAAGGGCGCCGCATCTCGTGGAAAGAAGGAAAATGTGAGGGTACCGTGCGGGTGAGGATGCCTGGATTGTTCTTCTCATTTTACCCGCTAGTTCTATTGATGTGACATGGAATATATCATTGAAACTCATAGTTTTCGGCTCTGCAATTTGCATATGGTGATTTACAGCCCCTACAGTGACTCTTTGCCATACGCCGCAGCCCCGAGGATGCCGTGCCCCCTTTGCCGGGTGTGGAGACCCGGGGCCGGGAGTGACTGACAACGGGATTCACCAGGATTCGTCCCGTGATCCTCCTGCCTACGTCTTCGCAGGGTCCCCCCGCCACGTTTTTCCCTGTTATTCTTTTCCTTTCTTTTGTTTGGTTTCACGTCTTTGTATCAAACAGATACATGCAGATGCAAGTGATGTGCATTTAAAATGAACATACACATCATAGAGCCTCGCTATTATACCATGTGGGTTTTTTTTTGTGGTAAGCTGCTAAATTATTTATTGTGTGCTGGGCTTTAATCTCATAAACCTGCCTGCAGGCCTTACGCGAGGCAGCCGGCGCGTCCTGGGAAGCGGAGGAGCAGGCGGCACAAAGCGCCGCGGCGCTCCGAGGTGCTGATTTCACCTCCTGCCTCGGCCTCTTCTCCCCCTCCTCGCTCATTAAAAGCAGCAGGGCCTGTTAAGTTGGTTGTTGCCACTAACTTGAGCGTTGATTTGCATTTGCTGCGTGGAGAGGATGCCAGCCCGGAGATCCACGCTAGTCGGGGAGAGCGAGAGTCAGTCCCCAGAGCTGCTTAAAGCAAAGAAAACAGGGTGAGGAAGAGACACGGGGTAAAACAGGGTCTTTGCAGGGAGCGCGGCCGTGCCTGCGGCCGGGAGCACGCCGCTCCGAGCGGAGCAGCTCACGCGCCGAGCTAACATTTGGCTGACTAATGCGCTGTTTGGTTTGCTAGTCCTCCTGCAGCCCGTGGCCTATTAGTGGGAAAGCAGAGTGTGCTTCTCGTTTGCTCTCACTTTCTGCGTCTGATGCTTTTGCTTGGTGCTCTTGAAGCTTCCTCCTCGGAGAGGCTCCGTGCCGGGGTGTGCGGAGGCGGAGGGGCCCGCGAGGCCTTCAGTGCTTACCTGGGTCCCGCGCAGGAGCAGTGGCACCGTCCTGGCGTCTCCCAACGCCGCCTCTCTGCGGGGCCACTGGAGACGTCCTTGCAACGTTCCCACTTCCCACTGGAGACACGGGAATTTGTCGCTGCGGTTGGTGCTTATTAATTAAAAAGCGAAGTGGAAATTGCCTCGGCTGCCCCCCGCGACAGCTCGCCCCTTCCCAGCATGTTTGCCACTGAGCAAGCAGGGCCTTTAATCAACAAATGGCTTTTCCTGCTTCTTGGCTCTTTATTGGATTTGGCAATGGGATGTTGCTGTGTGGGGAAGCTCTTGAGGACTCCTGGTCTCCCTCTCTCCCTCTGGAGGGTCATTTGGGAACTCAGTCAGGAATTAGTAGGTACAAATGCTGAAGACTTCGCTCGAGGCTTATTTTTAGCACCGTCCGGATTTTGTCATCCCTGGAATCGGGAGGCTCTGACCTTTAGAGAAGCTCTGCTTAGCCGGTTACGGCAGCATCGGAGAGAAAGGCACCCACGTAAGCGGGAAGGGCAAAGTGCCGGGTATTGATAGCTGGTAGCGATCAGCCTGTCTGTGCGCAAACGTATTGGCAAAGTCTGGGAACGCTCCTGGAAGCGGCTGCGGAGTGCGGGGAAGGGAAGCGGAGGCCGCCTGTCCCCGTGGCGCCCTCCCTGCTGGGGACAGGGACTCGATATCTGCTGCAGAAAACCAACAAGGTTAATTTTTCTCCAGGCGCTGCCGCTGGACGGGGCTCGGCGTGGAGCAGTGACGGGGCCGCGGCGTGCGGGGAGATCAATGTGCTATTCCTCTAGGAGCCCTAAGGAGCAGCTGATGCCTCCTGCAAAACGGCGATAAAGCTCTCCTTTTAGAGTCCTTTCTGCTTCTCCAGCACAAATGCAGCGTTTCTTGTTTGTGCGCGGTGCTTTCTTCGCTCCCTCTTTACTCTCCGAGATATTTCCATGCAGAGGGCGGTTTTTGCTCTCGCAGCACATTCCCGTATTGCAGCTGCACTGCTCAGCGCCGGGGTCTCCCCGGGCTGCCCTGTGCTCGGTGGCACCGCCGGGCGCCTTTCAGTGGCAGAGGGGTGGGCGAGCTGGGTTAGAGCCCAGGGCCTGGTTTTAACGCAGATTTCGGTCTCCAATCGATGCGGATCAAAAGTTCCTTCCTCCCCTGGGAAGGGCTCAGTAAATGAAATATTCATCGTAAGGAAGGGTGTATTTTAAGAGCCTGGAAAACGCAGGGCCCTCCACCGAGCCATTGTTCTGCCTCCCGAGCCTTGGACTAAGTTAAGACTTTCTTAGAAACGCGCAGGTTAAAAGTTTAAAAGCTGAAGGTTTCATTCATAATTCAGGTATCGGCGCGGCTCGGCGGCCCCCGGGACGCAGCACGTGCTGCTCGCGGTGCCTGCGCGGAGCGGGGCGCCCCGGCAGCGAACCCTCCGGTCCAGGTCATTGCACTGAACGTGCCCCAGGTCAGTAGGTGCCAAAAGTCATTAACGTCCAAGGGCTGCTCAGGGCCCTGTGGCAAAGGAGACGCCGGGCACTGCGCCGTTCCCAGCGTGGGGAATAGCAGAGCTGGGACCCGTCTCCCGCGGCCTTGGGGTGACGAGTCAAGGGTGATCCAGGCCCTGTGGGAAGCACCGGGGCTTCCCCGAGCTCCAGGCCGGTTCCCAGCGGTGCGTGCGGCGTTGGCAAAGCCGTGGGGACCCCTTGTCACAGGGGCCAGGCGGCGCCAGCGCCCCTTGTCCCC